TTTTGTTGCTTGAGTGTTGCTCGTGTCGCTTGCTGTCGCTTGTTTGTATTTAAAGTGCCGTGTTCTTTTCATACCCTGCACATATAAAAATGCCTTAAATGTGTTGAATTGCGCAAAGCAATAAAAGACTCGAACAACTCGAAGTGGGAAGTCGAGAAAGTCCGATTCATTAGCAAGGGAGAAATCTGTGCGTTTTACTTCCGGAAGTTCTTGCTATCTTATGCAAATACAAATACAGCGGAAACTCTTGACTGCGAGCATTACAGGGCAGCAGCTAGTCGAACATTCTCGACCATTCTAACTTGTTGTTTCATCGGTTTATGGCCAAAGCTGTTCTCATTGCAACATTTTAACCGCTAGTGTATAAAGCCAACATCGTGATGTTGTTGCTGTTTCTGATCTTGTTTAGCTGCCAAAAATTAAAAAAACGGGTAAGTCATGGACATTAACCTTTGTGTTTGCAGTCGGACACAGACGCAGACGCACGTATTCGTGACAACATTGGCGAAATAATGCGTGCTTGAGTGGACACCAATACACTCACACATTGGGAGTCGTCGAAGAGACACACGTCCAACTATGTCCTCATTATAATTTGTTTAATATACACAAAGCTTGTTAAATTCCGCTGTTCTTTTGTTTTGTTAACTTTTGTTAACTTAATAAGCTTTGGATTCTTGCTTATGGCATGCTTTCTTTTTATAAAATATCTATTTTTAAGTATTATAATACAATGACAGCTCCCATATCCGTACGCCCACCCTCGCCTTGTTTATGTCCAGTTATGGAAGAGGGGCACACTTTATTGGAGCTGAACATTAGTTAATCATCTTCAACATTAGAATAATATATGATTTTAAGAATAACAACATAACAATTTTTTTTTAATTTAAATATATTTCTTTGCGCCATTTAAACGCGTTGAGTTTAGTGTTAGTTAACTTAATTTAAAAAAAAGATACGACAACGAATACAAGAACCTACTTTTGGACTGATCGTTCCTATGGCAGCTATATGATATAGTGGTCCGATTCATCCGGTTCCGATATACATATGTACTGCCTGCAACAGAGAAAACAATCAGACGGACGGACATATCCATATTTTGTGGTTGATTCCTACATAGAATATAGGGTTGTCTCCCCTTATGCGTTAGACATTTTATGACAAAATTCGAATACCCTCTAAAAGGTCATGTACGTTTCGACGGGCAGAGGTTCAAGGCTCTTTAAGAAATCAGCAATGTCTTTGCCAATGGGAACCATGGGCATCAAATATGAATCAAATGGCTTACAATTCTTGTTTGAGTTTCATTGCATCTGTACGCTTATGAGAGATGTTAAGGTGTCGATGACTCTTCGCGTAAAGGTAATGGGTTCGCCTTTTATATTAAAACTAGGACCGTACAAAGTTTGTGGGTCACGGAAGCCCTCCGTAATGGAAGCTTTCACTGTATTATTATATGTTTCAGTCGAATAATTAAAAATAGCCAACCAATCGAAGCAGTCAGTTTGCAATGTAACTGAGATCATCTGGGATATCACAACATCTTTCGTTAAACTCTCTTTGAACAATTTAAATGTAAATTTTGGTAACACATGTTTAATTGGGCCTTTTTTGCCGCCTGGCAACTCGAGTGTTAAAGGCAATTCTCAATGTGGCTTCGCATGCGGCCATTTGTGGGTCACGGTAGACCAGTTTTCGCCGGGTAGGAAGAAATTGGCTGCTGCGCATATCATTTGGAACAGCGCACTTTCCCGCTCAGGCTCTTGCGGCGCAGTGAGTGTTTTTTTTTTTGTGGCTGAAAAGAGCTGATGGACAATTTCACAAGATTTACAAATTAGTGACCGTTATGCGCTTAAAGGGGGCTGCGGCAGATGCACATGCTCGTTTTGTCTAAGCCCCGAGAGATGCGTCCAGTGCACGTTTGGGGCCGTGCTGGGGCATAACATAACAATAAAATGCGTCTCTAAGCCAAAGTCTTATGCAAATGACGTCTCTCTAAATGCCCAATTTCCGCTGATTCAGCGGCATTGTCAATTTCTGATTCTCTGCGGCAAACAGACGCGAGTGTCGAGACTTATTAGAGACTCGCTGGCATAACTCAGTTGGGGCTTGCCTCATCGCTATATTTCTTGGGTGTTACATGATGACTGGCAGCGGCTTGGTCGGGCTTGGCTGTCTTTCGGTTTGCGTGCAAACCTTTAATAAAAATCGAAAAAAATGCATGCAAGACTTGCGGATGCGCTATAATTGTGTTAAATGTGAACATATGAAGCAAAGACTAGGAGCTGGACAGACCTAGCTGTATCTGTTGTCTTTGCTTATAGCGCACAAGTTGAATTTATTTCTTGCGAGTGACAAACATGTTACTGAAATCAGGCGAACCCCTTTTGCAGTGTCTTGCCGCACGAGAAACCGAAGCTAAAGCCAGAGCTATGAGCCGAGTTGATGACGCCACAGCCAAAATGCATTCTCCATACAAAGCTGCTGGCGGCTTCCTAACAATTGCTGCTTGGGCGGCTCTAGTGTGTTGCGGTCTTGGGCTGGGCTGTGATTCAACTTTGACATTCAATAGCCTCGACGTGTCCAAGCGTCATTCAAGTTTTCGACAGTTTTTGCATTTCCGCGGCGCATTCAAAGAACTTCATACAAAATATGCGCGCTCCACTCCAAATTGTTGAATTGGCAGAACATCAACTCGAATCGAATCTGTTTCGCATTTTCAGAGCAAGTGCCAGACTGAAAACTGGTTCTCATATCTTCGGTTAGCGGTTAAGTGCCATTTTCATCTCAGCCATGTTACGTGGAGCATCACTTTTTTATTATGGCACTTGCCACTGAACGTTGCAACCGCAGTGAAAACAGTTAGTACCGATGCCAATAACCTGTATCTATGTGCTGAGCAAGGCAAAGTTCAGTTACAAGGTACGTGGCATATTCTACGTACCTTCGTTCGATAACAGCCGAGTCCATAAATTATATGTGATGATACAGATAGTGCAGTGCATAGTACACAACACCTTTGGAGCATGAGCTAAGCGCCCCAAACTGGGCACAAAACTGACGCAGATAAAACGCCTCTGGCTGTAAGGCACCTACATACATGTGAGAAACGCTGAGGCTTATTTATAATTGTCACATAATTGTCTTGTGGCAAACATCGAAAATAGCAGCTGACTCAAATTGAGAGCACAGCAACCTAATCGCCTGACGCCGACTGATACTGACTTTAGTAGGGCAAATGCTGCTCGGTCGTTGGCTGCTTTTTTTCTCTAAATTGGATTTTGAGCGCGCAGACCTAACTGCAAACTAAGAGCTGAAAGATACAAATACTATGCTTGTTCTACATGCTAAACAAACGAAAGGCTAAATACAAATAACGACTTTGGCTAGTCTCTATTTAATATACCCTTCAGAGCGTGTTTTAACTATGTCGCATAGGAAGCTTAGAATGATATGGACATATCGAATGGAATTCGGTCTAACTATCTACCTTTTATTTTCATACAGTTTAGATAGTTTTTAATCAAAAATTTAATTTTTACAAAATTTTTTTTTGGGCGCTTGGTTTTATTTTAAATAATCTAATAAAAGATACTTTTTACTTATATCCCATAAATATAGATTGACATGGATTGATATCTGTCAGTTTATTTATACGCTTTAATTTTTATCTTTATACGGATTTTCGATAATTTTTATTTAAAAATTAAAAAAATAAAAAAATAAACCCTCAAATAAGTATCTGCCCCAGGTGAAAGTGAGCGTATTTGCACTTCGAGCTGCCTAGTTTCTGTGTCTTTATGTTTTCCCATTTGCTTGTTTTGTCAGCAGTGAGAATAGCACATATGTTGCTTTGCCGGGCAGGTAAAAAGCGGAAACGCCACGCAAAAATTTACGAGCATTGGCCGGTGGCTTCTTGCGGCAAGGCTGGCGGCGTTGATGCGTTGAGCAACAAGTGGTCGTGGTCAAGCCAACGTCAAGTTCTAATCACATTAGCACACTGACCAACAATGGGCTATTAGAACAAACGTTCACGACCCGGCCATAATTTTGCGGCTGTGCAAATAGATTTTATGCCCAGGCAAATCCATTGTTTGGCTTGACACGGCTCGAAGGTGTTCACAGGCCACAGTCCACAGCCCACGCCAATGAGCCATTGCGCAAGATTTATAACGCCTCTGGCCGGCGAATCTTCGAATCAACGTACATAGTATCTAGAGAATACAAATAACTTGGAGCTTCCGTTAGAAGCGGCAGCGGTAACGGCAGCAATTGCTTTAAGCCCGGCGCAAATGTGGGTCTAGGTCGCCGCGCAGAGGTTGACGTCGCCTGTGGCCACATTGGTCGAGTGCAGCCAACTGTGCAGTCAGCTGAGAAATTCTTTGACGTCTATTTTTGGTTCGTGTGTGTGTGTGTGTGACACAAATTTTGGGGTCTTCGGTCTGGCGAAAAGCAAATTACAATTTGCTGCCAAGTGACGATATTTTGGGAGTGTGACAGCCAAAATAGTATATAATTGTGTGCTTGTGGGGGATTGCAATTTGTTGCCGCCTCTGGCACAGGTTGGGTCGCAACTGCGCCCCCTCCATTGGAAACTCGTTTCCGTCTACCTTGGCTTTGTTTTTGTTCATGTTGATTACAATTATTTTCAATTAAATGTGAGAGCATTCAAAAGCTTTTTCACAGTCTGTTTACATTTTGTGCACGCCAAACAGCTGTTTTGGTGAGCGCGAGAGCGAACGCTCGACGGCGAGAGAGTGGGAGAACGAGAGCGCGAGCGCGAGCGCAGATGAGAGCGCTGTAATGAAAAGCTAAGCCCCTGCAAAACTTTTGTCAATTGATTGAGCGGCAGCCCCAACACCAATACAGCCGCAAACTACAACTACAACGACAACCACTGTGCATGCCGAGGCATCACACGTAGTAGAAACATTGCAAAGCAACAGAAAGCAAAGCAAAGCCAACAAACAAAACTCAGAGGCCCGCTGCTGTGCCTCAGTCAGTTGTTATCGGAACTTGCTGCCGCTGTCATGTCCGAGACGTAGACGCGCACGGTTCGTTTGCTGGTGGGTTTGTCTGTTTTGGGTCTGTGCTGGGTCTGGTCTGGTATGGTGTTGATTGCCTTACCTTACCTCTTTTTCGTTTTCTGTTCGGTTTACGGCCGCGCGCGCTCTCTTTTTCTCTCCCACTCTCCCTCTCAACATCTTACATCTCCCACGCGCGCTCTCTTCACATCGTACACACAATATATTTTATAGTTGCTTATTTTGTTTGCGGCAGCTGAAAATTTACTAAAATAACAAAAAGCTATTGATTAAATCTGTGAAGTGCACATATATATATATATATATATATATATACATAAATATTTAAAAATACGAATTTGAATTGTCTCTATTAAGACGGATTGTTGTGAATGCAAATGAATTCCACCTATGCACACAAACACAAAACGTTTAATAATCAATTTATACAGCGAAATCAAATTTCTTAGGTGTGCACCTCAAGTTCACGGCTTTGGCTCTAGCTGTTGTTGTTGTTGTTGTCAAAACAACAATTTCGTGTGTACTTGCGCAAAGTGAAATTATTTGGCGCAGTGAAATTGTTAATAAGAAAAAAATCAATTTACCTTCGACCGCCTATGCTACTCAAATCTATCAGTATTGTTCACGAATACCTAAGTATGGCCTGCCGGTCTTTTTGAGTCTGTGTTCCGTCCGATTGTCTTTTATCATGGTATCTTATCGTTTGTTGTCATACAGCGTGCTAAGCCTGGCAAGCTGAGCATGAATGAACGAACGAATACATAGAGATGTGTATGTACATACAAGTATGTACGAGTATGTATGTACATATGTAGCGATGAACTGTACAACCGTGTCGTACAAGCTGCTGTTATTGTGCTGATTGCATAGTTGTTCAATTTGTATACATGTCTGATTGGGCATCTTTATCTGCGCCCATCGTCAGCATATTCAAGGCTGATAACGCAGTTAGCTCTTTCGCTAGTCTCTCGTCTATATTTCCACAGTCTTATCTGTCTGACCCGCCTACGACCTGCCACCGGTCAATTCAATGTTATACTAAATACCTACATACATATGTACATACATATGTACCTATTGTACATTGTATGTACATACGTGCACTGAGATCAGTTGCGGGGGCTAGCGGGGATTTCGCGTGTGCGATAGTCGCCAGTTTTCACTGTCGTCGTTTAGCAAATCGTCTTGCAAAATGTCTTCATCAGCTGAGCTCGTGTGCGAATGTAAAGGCTATAATCATATGCAAGCGGCGCAGAAAACAAACGCGAGTGCATAAATAAATAATAATTGTATATGTGTGTGTTTTTAATTGCATTTAATTCAAAGCGGAAATACACACAACTACAGATACAGATATATAAATGTACAGATGCACAATAATAAGAGATTGTTGCAATAAAAAATAAGTATAATAATAACGCATTATATAAAAATACCAAGTGCAAGAAAGAAAACCAAAAACAAAACTGAAAATCAACTAACTAGCTAAACGTTATAATCAGAGCTAACTGAGTCCATATCGAGTGGTAAGTCTAATCATTAATTAGCTAATTAACCAGTTATCATACGCAATGTAGCAATATCCATTGCTGGCTTCAGGAAATTAATTCCCAGCACCCACGCACACCGTCATAAAAAACTGCCACAAAAATCAATAAAAGTTGATATTTGACGTCGTGCATACACGAGTGCACCCCGCGCCGCTGCCGCTTTTCATTGCTAAGCCAGGCGACGCTTTTGTATTAGCAACAGCTGATTGCACAAGTTGCTGACTAAATGACCTCCCACCTTTGCTCAAAGTATTATCCCCAGTCGACAATCGTCTAACCTTGGCGCGCCCAGCTTGAAGGAGTGGCAGACGTTGTGGGTGTGTGTGTGTGTGTGTGTGTGTTAACTGTTTTTTGTTGCCATTTGCGCTGCTCGCTTTTCCGGCGCCTTATTAGTTTGTCCCCAGACAACGCGACGCTGGCTTGTCACACATGAGATACTTTCGCTGGGAGTCCAACGCACGCTCCCTTTTTCCTTCGGCTCTCAAGTGTTCCGCCCATTTGCTGTTCTGGTTGCTGCTGTCGCTGGCTTAAGTGGACACTGCTCGGCTCTCAAGTGCAGCATTTGCTTCTTCATCATGTCAATCAAAGACGCTGTGCGCTGGGTGCTCTTTGTGTGTGCCACAGTTCGCTTGTCTAATCAGGCCAACTTTTAAAAACAAACCCACACCAGCCCGAAACAACAACAATAACAAGAGCTTAGCTTGTTTTGACATTAGAAGCGTCTGCGCAAAGCTTATCCTGGCGCTGCTCTCCCTCTCTCTCTCTCTCTCTCCCTCTCTCGCTCTCATTAGCAACCACGTGATTTTCACATGCTCAGCTGTCGGCTGCACTTTGACTTTCGTTTCTTTGCCCCGGGGCGCAAAAAGCTGACTCAAAGCTTTAACGGTAGTTGCCAAGCCAGCGCATGCATCAAATGCACCGCGAGCCTCTGTTCTTGCATTGTATGTGAATACTTTTGCATTGCACACTTGTTGATGTCATTTGGGTAAGTTTATTTAAAGGTCCTTGTTGATGTCATTTCGGTCCTTGTCCTTCTGTTCTATTGCGGTTACATATGCAGTATACCTTTCGGTTATGAACGGAACCCGTTTGAACCTAGAAGTTCAATATGTTGCCAATTTGCTATCGAAACATATGTTCAAATATTTGTCCACTTACATTATATGGCAAAGTTTGTTATTCAGAAAAACGGCCAAGTAAATTATGTTTTATTGTAGAGCAGAATCCTGTAATGAAGGATATGGGTATTTAGTCTTACGAATCGAATCTAAACTGGCGCGAATCGTGAAGCGTTAGTTCGTTTTCGACTTGTTGTAAGTATGTTGTGTTTGTTTGTAGGCTCTGTTTGAGGCTTATCGAAATTGGATGATTTTCTAGAATAACTCTCCAGCTGGCCTCGTCATCACATTTTAGCCAAATCAACGCTAATTACAGTTATTTGCCGAGCCGCAGTTGTTTGGGCCGTATATGTTTGTTTTGCTCTGGGCATTTGACTTTTGCCAGGTGCACTTTCACTCGCCCCGATCGCATTCTAAAGTGAAAGGAGCTACTTATACATAGGTAAGCTGATGCTGTTGCCGCTTTGCTGCTTTCTAAATGATGGCCACTTACTTACACTTACTCTCAACAAAGTAGTTGGCCATGAGAGTGCCATTCACAATAGCCAATACACACACGCCAAGAAAACTTATCGTGTATCTTTTATGGATTCGCAGCGCCCACATCATTCATAAACGATAGACGAGACCGGCAAAAAACTGACCAGCAACATTCTATTTCAATTAGTGTAACTGACCTATGCCATTTGCCATGGCCTGAAGATTAATCGGCACGTTTTCAGCACATTTTTGTATGCATTGGCCTTTTGTTTATGCCCACAAAAACTGGGCGAACACATGACCAATCCGAAGCAGCAAACGATAAACAGTTCAATGTCTAATGTATTTGGCTTAACTGAATCGTTGGCATTCACAGCAAAAACCACAACTACAACAATAACAACAACAAAAACTGAAACTGAAACAACAACAACATGGATGACAACAAGTTCACATGAATATGAAACTCTCGCACGGTCTGCTTTGTGGATATTCGTTTCTTGTTTCCACTTTGATTTCAAATTTTCGGAGTGTTATTTGAGTTTATCTGATGTGATTTTAATACGCCCCCAAACAGTTAAAAAAAAAAAAACACAATTTATTTAACGTTGTTTCTAACTATTTAAGCGTGGGTGCACTAGTATTCGATTTATAAACACAAGCAAGGTGCGATGTTCATTTTTGATTCAAATGAAAATCTATTATTCGAGCAGCTAGCTTAAGGTAATTGCCTTAATTAGCTAACCTGCAGCTTGCTGTAAATGTGATTATTACTAAATTCAGTCGGAACCACTCAATTTTGAGTCACGCAAAGTCATGCATCCGCAATATATCATCTTGGTATACCTCATTGAATGTGTCCGTAAGTGCCGCCAATTTCCATTACATCAATCATCCTTAATGCCATTTGCGGGTATTTGATTGCATTATATTTGACGAGCTGTCCGCTATTTTGATATATATATAAATATTTTTCATTTTTTTTTTTCTTTCTTTTTTTGCTGAAAACTTGTGTGCAATAAAAACGGTGTATGTAAAAAACTAAGTAATTTATACATTCGTACAAATGCCCATGCATCATACAAATTATTAAATGTGCTTTTGACATTGACGTTTAATACCTGCCACGACTCCGTTGCCGGTGTTTCGTTGTCGTGTGAAGGCCCCGCTTACCGTTAACTGGTTGATACCGCGACCCTCCCGTTGCCCGAACAGCGTGCCAAAGGTATTCGTTTTTACCTTACACGGTTGATTTCTTTTTTATTTTCTGTTTGATTGCTCTTCGACTAACTGTTGTTTTGACGGTCGGCATAACAAAAAAAAAATAAAAATGCAACCACGCAGAATTATACAACCGAGCACATTAAATGCATGGGCCATACAAATATATCTGAAAATATTTTGTACATTTTTTGGCCAACGCTTCAAATTACACTTAAAAGCAATTTTTGTAATTACTTTGCAATTTATCATTAATTTTTGTTTATTTTTATTGTTTAAAAAAGCTTAATTTGTAGTTTATAGCACGCGAACTTTCTAAAAGCCCAACACGGTCACATAGTTTTGCTTAGTTGCCAGGATTTTGCATAGAGGGCGTTGCTTGTTGAGAGCTTTGACAAGCTGCGCTTGCGAAAAGCTTCGTTTCCCCAGGACCTGTTGCACTCAGTTGCCCTTATCGTATGATATCAGCGTATAAAAAGCCCCCTCTCCCTTATCAGCTAATATATGACAGCCAACAGTGCTGTGATAAACAGCTGGCTGATTGGCTGATAAGGAACATGAATTCTGTGGCCTCATTGCAGTTGCGTTTGGAAAACTTATCATGTAATTTTTATAAGCACTTGAGTGCATACGCGCCTGTACAAATGACTTGTTTTTGTGCTCGACACATCGCGTGGGTGCGCTGTGAACGTGCGCATCAACAACAATAGATGGAGTAAAAAAATTAATAACAACAATAATAATAATAATAAATGAAACAACTGCATGTAGAAACAAAAACCAAATGACGTTTGTCATTAAAATGAAACAACTGCAATGTAAGCAAATGTCACGTTTATGTAACAGCAGCAGCCCGTTTTCGGCTGGGGCTTGCTTTGGAAAATGAAATAGTCTCGTATTAGCAACAAATCTCATAAACAATAGAAACAAAAGTCGAATAACAATTGCCAATTGCCGATGTTAAAAAAAAAAAATGCGCACAAATTTTGGCATGCTCTGCAGCAGGAAATTAAATATTGCAAGCGATATAAAACTGGGCACCTAAAGCAAACCCCAAAATAAATGACGTGACATCAAAACAGCAAAAACAATAAACAGTGCCAGCCAAATGTAAACCACACAGAAACGTGCGAGCCGGTTTTTTGCATTGAATTTTGATGATTGAATGAGCATGAGTGAGAGATACAGATACATATACAGATATAGATACAGATACAAAGACAACAACTATAAAGATACATTTCGTGGGCTTGTGTAAAAATAAAAACTTATTGGGGCATCTAGGCAGTCTGTTTATGTTTAAGAACCAGAAAGACGGAGAGTGTAATATTTATATTGAATCGATCATTTAGTCTGCATAATCCGATAAATTGTCTGCTTGAGTTGGGCTTGAGAAAGTGTTAGAGGTCAGTAACACATTTAATTATTTAACATATAACAAAAGCCATGTTAAGCAAAGGGTGAGTTTTGATTTTATTATTCGTTAAGCATCTAGCAAGATATAGTCGTAGTTGGTAATAGGAATAGAATGTCTTTGGCATTTCTTTCATCAAACCGGTTCAGCTCCAAACCGCATTTACAGATCTCCGAATGTACATAAATGGTAAAGAATCAGCTCTCGCGTTCTACATAAATTTGCATATTTTTTAAGAAAGACGACGGCCACGACAACATCGGCCTGGCAACTTTTAGTTACTGTTGCAGACGAGTTTACAGCTGACATGAAAAAAGAGAGAAAAAAAAAAAAAACACCCAAAACTGTGTCAATGAAATTTCGAGCATTAAATTGCAATGGACGCACCGAAAATGCCGGACTGCCTGTTGTGTGGCGTCTTTGAATTGCCAACTTTTTTGATACCCTTACAAGGTAGCGCGTCAATTTGCAACGCACGAAGGACGGCATATTATCAGCATTGTTCATACTTTTAATTACAGCTGCATGTAATAAATAACTATTATCAACTTTAGCCAACTTTAACTATAAACACATCGTATTAACAATCTTATGGGCGACTTTCATTTTACGCTCAGAGCTACCTGAGAAATATTCTCATATAAACGTGATGCCATAAACATTTGCTGAGATCAAAATCTAACTAGAGCATAATTAGTAGCATTTATGAGTACAACCTCCTTTTCATGTGAATCACAAACTTGTTTATTTTAATAGGTTGCTTAAACGACCTCCCTGGCCCGAGGTTTCGATGGGCTTGCGTTGAGTGTTAAGCGAGTATCTATGAGTATTTTAGCAATTAGCTTGTATCATTTGAATTTTGTTTGCTAGACGAATTGTGCTCAGGCATACGACTCAGCTCAAAACAAGTTAGACTAGTCGTCAACATCGTCATTTTACTAAGCGTCGCACACCCTGACAAGTCTACAGCCATTCTTTGGCCATATCTGTTGTGCGAGCGGTAGATATTATTAAATAACTAATGTATTTAATCTGAAATTAGTATGCATAGCAGCGCATCGCACTCTAGAGACCAGGAAGCCGCAGCACAAGCCAAGCTGTCAGGCTGCTTTGTATTCTTTGGCTGTCAGCTTGTTACATTTGTTGTATCATAGCGCACTTGAGGTTCGTTTCGATTGCAGGCAGTTGTGATTGGCTTTCTCTGCCTATGACGATGCAGCGCCAAGCTTTTCCCTATATAGCTGCTGACTGGTATAAGCTGCAAAGGGGAAAATATTTCCGTTGCACTTAACGATATGATTTTAATCGGGCATTGCTCCCATTATGTTGCATTATAGCTGCATAAGCCGCTAGACTATCAAGTGCCAATGGGCAGCAAAGTCATCCCGTTAAAAGGTTGACCCAAGTACGCCCTGTTGCAAGTGCGTGAATCATCAACGGAATAGAAATTGTTCTAAAAAGCTGACAAGAAAATTAAAGCGATTTTATTGTTGCTGCTCTTGATATTATTATTGTGCCTGGCATTAAACTGCATGATTAAACAGAAATATAATTGTAATTGTCGCTGGCAAAATGTGAAAATCATGGCGAGTCTGACAAACCGACTCAACTGTTGATTTGGCCCCTTCGCTCTAGTTTTCTCTAACTTCGACTCAAGCTAATGAAGCGCATTCAACGAAGCTTAAATGTGTTGAGTATTTTACAGATGCTTAAAGTGCTGCTCTGTGCCAGTGACACAGAAGCCAGAAACAACTTAGGCAAACATAAACATACACATAAACATTGACAGACGCACGGTCCACACACATGTGTGCACAGCAGACGTCAAAGAGAAGTTTCTGGCCATTTGCTGGGTCTGGTCGAAAAGGTTAATGATTTATAAAACTTAACCCATGCGCTTTGGCTGGTGAAAAAGATACGCATTATTAAAATCCCCTTGATGCGCATGTGTGTGTCTGCAATTATCATATGCCAGACATAATTGTGTTTTAGTGGTCCCTTACAGATACACAGATATAAGTACAATTTTCTCTATGCTTTTATTTCGTATTATATTTATTTTGCTTTTTCTTTTGTTGCTCTGTGATTTTGTTACGCTTTCCAGAACATGACTTGTACATTTTCGGCATGGCTTTCATTTTTGGGGAAAGAGTCTTTCAGAATTTGACGCCAGCTTTCTGCGCAGCATAAAGACATCTCAAGGTAGAATTATAATGGCATTTATATGAAAAGAGGACCGAATAGACTCAATCGCAGTGATGGCAGCAGAAGCAGCAGCTAAACGACCCAGAAACTGTGTCAAACATTTAACAAAAGTGCAAAGCTTATAAACAGAACAATGCCAAAAAGGGGCCAGCCAACGGGGCAGCATTTAGGCGGCAAAAGCTGGAAATACAAAGTGTAACTGTTTTTATATATTTTTTGGGCTAGTTTTCTTTTTGGACTGGCCGAGGGCAGGTGAAAGGGGGCGTCGTAATTAAATCTTATAGAATACTGGAATACTGGATACAAAAATAAAGCAACCAAATCGTTGCGCTGTGTTTTGCAACACCGGCATGCTCAAACTCTACAGCACTGGCCATGCTTGAGTTGGCTGTCAAAGTTGCCTGCTTTGCGCTTACGGTTCTTTTATTTCGGGGCTAAGCATTTTGGATGAGAAAAGATACTAGACGAACCGCAACCAAGCGCGCAACAGCCCAAGCCCAACCTTAAAACGCTCGATTACCGTCAGTGGTAGTTGCAGCTAAAAAGGGCGTGGCTTAACCCTCGGCTTCTGCGACCCGCGCTCAAACATCAAAATATGTCGCAATATACATACCATATTCTATGCCTACGTCAACCCATTGCCACAATTCAGACACATTTAATTTGATTTCCATCCGATATGGTTTTTCTTTTAGCACGAACCCGGCGGTTACATAGCGAAGTGTTGTTGTTGTTGCCGTGCTGACTGATTGATTTCGGGATGGTTTTTCTCTTTTTTTTTTGTGTCATTTCGAATTGCAGCTAAATGCCAATGCCTGCTGCGTCGTCTCTTTTTATCTACTGCTGTCATTCAAACTGTTAGGCTTTCATCTATGGGTTATATTTGAATGCGCGTTGATGTCGCACGTTGTCCAATTCAAATTAAGCGCAGTTAAGCAACCATTTTGGTTGATACAAATTGAGATGGATGCAATGAGCACTTAACTAACTTTGAATCGGACTTTAAACTATTTAAAAGGCTGGTTCAACCATTTTTTTTAGTACTTTTCCATACAAAAACACATAAAATTTGGCCTATAAGTGTGCTTAATTTAATTTAATTGCCTGGGCGAATTGTGGATTCGTCTATTAGCACAGTCATTGACAGATAATTTTGTACCTATATGAATAAGTTTGTATGGTTTGAGTTTCAAGCCGACTTTGACCAGTGTTGACAAACAAATATTAGTACATATTAGTACATACGTACATGCACACATAGTACGAATATGCCAAATTAGCACATTTAACTTGTTTGTTTTGTAATTTGGAAATTTTAAATATTTCAGCGAAAAAATAACCCTGAACTATTTGGCAAAGTGTTGTTATTGTTATTTAACACCGTCCAAAAGAATTGCCGGCTAAGCTGCCTGCCTTTATACAAGTGCATAGAGTTTCCACAAGTTCAAACGGAAACACCATAAGTATGTGGGCAAAATCTACTCCGAGTTCCGACAAGATGTACTCTATTGCACTTTAGTTTTCTAATGCTTAGCTAGTTCTATTGTCAAAGAGTGGCCAACGCTAAAATTGCTGTAGTCCAGCTGTATTACATGTACATATGTAAGCTTCCTAATTGCTTGCTTTGATCTGGAGGCATCTGAGGTCACTTATTTTTTTTGAACAAAACTTCATTTTGCAAGCCTTTAATATGATTTATGGTCAAAATTCCAAAAAATATTTGATCAAAGGAAAAAATACTTGCATAACATCATTACTGCGCCTCTGTCGCAAAGAGTACAATTTACAGATACATATATGCAAACATACTTGTGCATATCGCTTAAAATCTGTACAAATATAAGAATTTTTATTTATTTTTTTTTTGGGTTTTTAATTTTGTGCATGTTTGCTCGTGCATGAAATGGCAGTTTGAACAGCGCACGTCGGGCAAAAATTTAATTTCGAGTTGTATACAGAAAATATTTTTGATTTACTCTTGAAGTTTATAAATATAAGCTTCCGTTTTGGAATTCATTTATTGAAAAAACTTTTCAACTATTCCTGCCGTATAGATGCGTGAGAAAATGTGTAAGCAAGTAAATAATTTATATATCAGATGTTTGAAAACTTATGCATACATATCACTCGGAAGTATAATTACGAAGCGAATAGTAAAAACATGATACTGTGCTTAGCCAACATTTGAAGGCCTGCTGTACATCACGAATTTATTTTGTCAGTCAATAGAAAAGTGCGCTTTCAAATATTTATTGGATATCAACACTGAGTACTTGGGCTAAGTATATATATGTGTATCTAATTCATACTTGGGCATTTTCAATTAAGATATATTTAGCTTACACATTTGAATATCCCTTCACATATAACGCCGCTCACGTTATAAATAGAATTCGTCCCATTTAGCTGGCCCCGTATCTTGTGTCGTAAGGTTATTTAGCCTTCACACTGCTGTAAGGCATGAAGAGTACATAAAAAATGCTCATTATTCTAATTTTCTATTTTTTAGTTCAGGGCTTTTGCTTATGTAAATTGGGCAAAGCATTATAATTGTCTTCAATCAAATTAAAATACTTACCCATTGAGCGATTCGCTGAGAGCTTTTTAAAAATAGACGTCTCTATTTATAATGCTCTAATTTGGCCTGCAAGCTATTCAGTTGCCGCTGATGAATTTATTTCTAGTACAAAATTTAATGCGAAATAAGTTTGGTTGAAATTAATTTTAAAGTTGGGGAATTGTTTTTGTTTGTTTTTAATTATAAAACCTCAATGTTGGCCGTCGCGGACAGCATGTTGATAGCCATAGATCGTTTGCGGTGTTGTTGCCGCTTTCCGGCGCTGCTGCCTGTTTATCAATTTTCAATATTGACCTTTGCCTTCTTCACCTTTTCCTTTGCTCTTTTAGTTAAGGCACATTAAATATATACACAGAATGAACGTTGCGCATTTGCTTCGTGTTGCTGCCGTGCTTGCAGCTGTCTTTACACCTTTGGCCATTGGGAGGCTATGAAAATGTTGTTGTTACTAGCAGTTTGGCGACAACAGCCACAGTTGCCAAAAGAGACCGAGAGAGGCACGAATAATTGTTTTATGCTTCTCGGGGGATTTTGGGCTGCGTCTCGGTCTTTCTCTCTCACATCTTCTCACACTTAGTTACACTTTTAAAAGTTTTGCTATCGCGGCAAAAAATAGAATTCAGTTCCATATCAATTGAATTAGACCAACAAATGCGAGACGATCTGCGTGAGCTAATTAATTTGAAGTGCATGGCATAAACAATGCCGTTGTTCATTGATTAGTCACCGCTCAATGGCAGGCCAGCTGATAAGTGCGGCAGCGCACTTAACCTAATTACGTAGTTGGCCAAATGATGATAAAATAATTGCATTTAATTTAATTTGATTTCAATTCAGTTGTGAGTAACGCTGAGAAGTTGAGCACAAAGCGGAACGCAGCTAACTAATCATTTCATCTGGGATTGGCAGCTTCTGTTGGCCTTTAATTTCATTTTCAAGCAGCCGTGTAGAAAACACGGTCTGTGTTGGTTCTGATTTTTCTTTACTTTCTAATGGGACTCAAGTTTCAATGCAAGTTAGATTAACGTCTGCATGTAGCGAAAGTTGACGCAATATCAGGGAAAACGGGAGAGAGTTGGAAGTCATCAGCTCGCAGCATAAAGAAAAAATGTTTTTATCCTAGGCTATTGACCATTCCGCTAAAAGACTATCTAAAAAAATACACTGCTTTGACTTCAACTAAATTCACATCCATTGAAACTTGTCAGCAGAAAAGCTGTGACAAGTTTAATCAGAATTTTATTTCTTCAATTAAATGAGTTATCCAAACGGTTATCGCAATTAGAATTCTTTGAATAATGGCAAAGTCTGTGTTTTTATTACGCTTTTTTTTTATTTGTTATCATGCATGGCAAATGGAGGATCTATGATTGACATTGCAATTTTGTTGCAATCCGGCAAAAATAATCAAAAAGTTTGTGACACTTTACGTGTGGAAAAATGTGTTTTCATGTCTGAATTGTTTTATTTTTATTTATTTATTTTTTAAGTTTATTCTTTTATTGTTATGTGTGTGCACAGATTTTTGTATTCGTTCTTATTTTTTTAGCCCCTCTGAGTTCAAATTGTTTTTCCACAACGTTGCCTGGACAAATTAAAAATTGGTCCTTCATGTTACGTATACGCAACACTGCCTGCGGACTTAATTGATTCTTGTTTTTAATGACTGGCCAAATTTTAACAATTTCGGCTACGACGCGTTCGGATTTAATCATATTCGCCATTGAAGAGGATCTACTAATTTGTAGTTTTAAATGTAAAATATTGATAACGTCAAGCGCATTTATTTATAAAAAATATTTCAAACAAATTGCACACAAAAAATGTTTTTGATATTCTTATTTGTCATCAATACTGAATTTAATTGCATCATATATTTTCGGGTTTTCAATGAAAATCGACGTTGCATAAGATATTAATGGTTTTTATAATTGTGCTTCTGTTTTCGAACAGAAAAATTGAACATTTTTTAAGTAGCTTTTATGTATAAGACTAAGAGTCGAATAAATATTAGACCAGTGAACATGTAAATAAAATAGTGTTTTTTTTTTATTATATATATAAAAAAGATATAACAAATCTTTGTCGCTTTACTTAACTATGAAAGCTTTTTAGCTTGAATTAAAACATTAAAATCGTGGCTCTGTACGCACTTGGACTTGAAAGACAGAAAATGTGTGTACATGATGAGCTGAGTTTTCCATTGATATATATTTTTTGTTAAAAGGATCAATTATTGTTGTGGTGACAGTTTGTTGTTGCGTACTTTTAATTTTCGTTAAGATTTGAGTCAATATGGGCTATAAGTTACTTCGTGTGCCTCATTGCGCGGCTAATTATTAAGCAAAACATCATTAACCAAATTACCATAACGTAAGTCTTATATTGAATCAACTAATTTTCTTATAGTCTTGGTCTTACAAATATGAATATTTTCACTCAAAATATCTTTAATATCACAGACCAAGACCTTGGTCTGGTCTTGAGCTAGCCCATGATACATATTGAAGCTCATTTAATGCAAGAGTCGCATGTCAAAAGACATTTGAACTCTTGCCCATTTTAGTTGTTAGCTAGACGGGTCCGAGCAGCCTTTAGCTTCCGTCTAGGCTAGTAATTATTTTTATGGCATTTTAATGACTTAATTAAACAATTTACTTAAAACCTAGCGATAGTTCAATTATGTAAACAGCTGCAGTCGCAACAGTATGAGACTGAGGCTGACTCTGAGCCCAAACCATGGCGGCATTCAAAATGCAAACAATTAAATGTTCATTAAAAACAAAGGCAAAAAGAATTGCGCCAGAAGATTAAGAGACGCTGTAAAAATTGTTTGGCTTTGCGGGCAGCCGCAGTTGCAGTAACAAAGAATCTAATTGTGTACCAAGTGCAAGTGCAATTGTAATTGTGGGTGTATGGTTGCGAATACTTAGATGGGTTGTGTAAGTGTATGTGTGCATGTATGGGAACGAGTGCATTTGTGCGCCAATAAGCAATTCGCAGACCTAGAGGCGAACGCCTTGCCTCACTTGTAAACTAATTCAATTAACCACTAAGCAGCTTAACATTAAGTGCCTTCAGTGGCTGTGTATGTGCTAGTGTGGATGTGGCTGGTGCTTTGAGTAACTCAAAAGGTTGACCCATAACTCGTTGCAAAACCGACAACAACAGCAATGTCTTAATTAGTAAGGCGCACGTATCAAACTTCAAGGCATCATGTGGAGTGCACTTTAAACATTTGCCCATTGGCTTAAGTTATGCAATGACCATTAAGCCGATTGTGACATTTGCCAAGTCGACGAGAGCTGACAAAAAGAGTAAGACTTTTGCCATTATTTACTGGCTACATGGGGGGTTTGATCTTGAGTTGTATATCTGCGCTGACTTCTTGACAGCTTTGGCTGAGCTGTGCACATTGCAAGCGACACTCGAATTTTGTTCATAGCTTCGACTTCAGCTTTAACTGTGAGTCTGCCTGTGGTCTCTGACTTATTGTTTAAGCCACGTCAAGTGCACGAAGCTCCATTTGTGGCTTTTGGAGTATTTTGTTTTGTTTTTGTTAGCGGAAGCGTGCATGCTTAAAAGAAAAACTGGGTTGAGCAGTTAATCAAATCACCCGACATTTGCATATTAATCATGTTTGCTTTTTGTTCTCTTTGCAGACAATTGCCGTGTATAGTGGAGTGAAGTAGGTGAGTAAAAGCGACCAAAACAATGCTGTGAAAACGTTACACACAGACTGTTTTGCAACATTTACTTACAGTACTTATCAAACAGAGTAAGAGAATTGACGTCAACCAATTTTGTCGCACTATCATCATAAGTCGCAGTTTCGGTCGTTCCCACAGTTGTTCTTTTCTTTTATCTACTTGCTTGTATCTGATCTTGCAAATGTGGCAAATGCGGTAGTTCTCTCAATTGTAAAGCTTATCTGACAAACAGGTACTTGAAGTGCCTATTTGCCTGTTGATTCACACTCTTTATTAAATAAGCAGCAGTCCGATAATTAGATAGCCGACACATGTGTATAAATATACGAATATGAAATTGCATTGTACTATTGGTTATGTGCGACTTTTGATTTGTATGGCTGCCATAAAAGCATTTTATCATTTAACCGGCGAATTTATTTGCTATTTTCTATTTACCGGGCTTGGGTCCGGGTCGTTTGTAATCGCCAGGGCTTCGCAGCGTATCAACTGAGGCATTAGCATGTCAGGGGCAGATAAAAAATTGCGCATGGACAATGGAATTAAGTACATTTGTACAACTGTGTATGCCAAATAGATACCAAATAACTTAGTTAAATATTTGCTAGCCCGCAATCCCGTCCATTCCTGGCGCGAATCCTGCTACAAGCCCGGATCTCCACGCGTTTTTGAATAATTACCCGCCCAAGACTTCACGTACTTGGCAAGGTCAATGGTTTAAGGCCACAAAAAGAGAAGGTGGCAATCTCTCCCCCCGTATCGCCCGTAAGAAGGCGAGCACCACCGAAACCAAGAAAGCCAGCCAAAACCGGTTTGCGGCCCTCTGTGACGAAGAGGAAAGCGACATGGACACGGAAGTAGAACTAGCCACCAACAAGGAAGCTTGCGCCGACGAGGATGTAGATGATAGGCCATCCACCTCGCACGCAGCTCGCGCAAGGGCCAGCAGGCAACAAACGGCAAATAAAAAGCTTGCCGCACACCCGCAACCCACCCAGACGGCGCCTCCCAATGAGCGGCCTGCCTCTAAGGTGCCGAGAATAACTGTGCCAAACGTCCTCAGTTTCACCAAGTTCTGCAAGGAACTAGACAGCGTCCTAGGCGCGGACACTTACACCGTCAGATCGCTTAATTCTGGCGACTGCATCGTCCAATGCCGCAACTCAGACGAATACCGAACGCTGGCAAGGCACCTTCGCGAGAACGGCTGCCTGTTTCACCACCACCAGCTTGCAGAAGACCGGCCGTACCGCATAGTTCTACGAAATATCCACCACGAGGTCGCATCCGAAGATATTTCAGCGCAATTGGCAGAAAAGGGGCACCACGTTGTCCGCATATATACCCCGCGTAGCAGAGTCAATAACGAACCTCTAAATATGAGATTTGTTGACCTGAGGAAAGCGGAGAACAATAACCTTGTCAAATCAATAACAGTACTATGCAGGCACAAAGTTTCGTGGGAGAAGCCTCGCAAGACGTCGGGCCCTGTACAATGCAACAGATGCCAAGAGTACGGGCACACAAAATCTTACTGCTCGAGACACTATGTGTGCAAGGAGTGTGGGGACAACCATCCAAGCAACGAGTGCACACTTGGCAAGGACGAGAATCGGTGTTGTCACCACTGTGGAGAAGCACACGCAGCAAACTTCAAAGGCTGCAAGAAGTACCTGCAATATGCTTTCCAGCAGAAAAACCAGCACAAGGCAAATGGCAGAGATGCAAGCCGCTCCAGAGATCCCCGCCCCAAAACAGCCGCTCCTGCCTGCAGCTTCGTGCCTGGCCAACAATCCTTTGCCAGCGTCCTCCGCGGTACCCAGCCCGCAGAGCGCAGTGCCCGCTCATCGTCTCGCAGAAGGAACACTGGCAGTACTCCCAGCCAATCGCAACCTGTTGCCGACAACTGCCCCAACTCAGCCCTTGAGCTCATGATGAAGCAAATGTTCGCCAGATTCGACCAACTGATGTCTCTCATACAGACTCTTTTACAAGCGCTAATGCACACTAGCGCCAAAAATAACAGTGCCTAAAATGAGCTCCCTCAGGATAGCACTATGGAACGCCAACGGAGTCTTTTCGAAGGCGAATGAGATCACAGCCTTCATCGAACTCCACCACATCGATGTGTTTCTGCTCACGGAGACTCACTTCTGCTCTCGAATCACCCTCAGAGTGCCAGGCTACACTCTCCACACCGCCAACCACCCAGATAACAGCCAACATGGAGGAGCAGCAATATTGATCAGGTCGTCCTTGTCGCACCACTCACTTGAGTCATCCTGCCACTGGCATATGCAAGCTGCTGCTATCCGACTCGGATCCAGCAGAGGCGACTTCAATCTCGCCTCTGTATACTGCCCTCCGGCCTTGAGAGTGACTGAGGCACACTTTCGAGCCCTTTTCGACCAGCTTGGCCCCAAATTCCTGGCAGGAGGAGACTGGAACGCCAAACATCGCTGGTGGGGAAACTACCGCATGTGCCCCCGAGGGAGAACGCTCTTCTCTGCCATTGAGAATGAAGGCATCGAAGTCATAGCCACTGGAGAGGCAACGTGCTACCCATATAGGGCTACTGCAACACCAAGTGCACTTGACTTCGGGCTCTACAAGGGATTCAGACAGGAACAGCTGCGAATACGAAGCCTCCTTGACCTGACGTCGGATCACCTCCCATTACTGATTGAGCTCGAGGAGACTCCCAAGTGGGAAGTTGGAATCCGCAAAATGCTCCCGCCGCGCTCTAACTTGGGAGTATACCGGGCCTGCCTCGAGGACACATTAGAGCTCAACGTCACCATAAATACGGCAAGTGAACTGGAGAGCTACGTTGACCACCTCACAGCGAAAATTACGGAAGCTGCTAGACGTGCAGCCCCGCAAACCCTGCCTCACTCTCGTACCTTCAGAAGGTCCCTACTAAGCCCTGAAGCCAGGAGTCTCCTTGCCGACAAAAGACGTCTAAGGAGGCTGTACATCCGCAACGGAGACCTCTCTACCAAGGCAGAAATGGTAAGCGCGTCCAACCGGCTCAGACGACTGCTGGCTAGGACTCGAACGGAAAATCTAGACAGCTTCCTCGAAACAACTGGGCATGACGGCAACAGCACCTTTTCAGTGTGGAAGCTCACCAGAAGCATTAAGAGGCAACCAGTTTTTACCTCCCCGATCACGGACCACTCTGGCCTCTGGCTCCGATCGGACGAGGAAAAGGCCAACGCGTTTGCTGACTACTTGGAGACAACCTTCAAGCCATTCGACTTCGCAGACGTTGCACAGCGCCGTAAAGTAGCCGAGTCACTGGACGCTCCACTGCAGATGGCTCTCCCGATAAGAAGCATCTCCCCCGCGGAAATCGGGACACAGCTGAAAATGCTTGAGCTAAAGAAGACCCCAGGATGCGACGAAATCGACAACAGAGCAGCTAAGGCTCTCCCACGCAAAGGAGTCATGGCGCTCGCCACAATTTTCAACTCCATGCTCCGCCTTGGCCACTTTCCGAAGCAATGGAAACATGCGAAAATTGTGATGATCGCCAAACCCGGTAAGCCGCTAACTCAACTTGAGTCCTACCGCCCTATAAGCCTTCTGCCGACGCTCTCAAAAGTCTTTGAGCGACTTCTGCTAAGCCGTCTCTTAGAACTCGACGAGGTCACGCGCCTGGTCCCGGATCATCAGTTTGGCTTCAGAAAGTCTCACGGCTGCCCCGAGCAGGTCCACCGGGCAGTAAAACACGTACTAGAAGCTTTTGAGCAGAAGCAATACTGCGTCGGCGTTTTCCTCGATGTCAAACAAGCGTTTGACAAGGTCTGGCACGATGGTCTTCTGTTCAAGATCAAACTGATACTCCCAGCGCCATACTTCAGCATCCTTAGCTCCTTTCTGGCAGGACGCACCTTTAAAGTGGCCGTTAAAGACCAAAGGTCGGCAATTAAGGGCATCAGAGCAGGTGTCCCACAAGGCAGCGTCCTCGGTCCGATGCTGTACACGCTGTATACGGCGGACCTGCCCACACAAGGACAAAGCAATGAAGACCTCAGCCCTGCGAGACTGCTGGTGGCAACATATGCGGACGACACTGCCTTCCTAGCCTCCCACAAAAATCTGCAAGCTGCTACAAGTGCAGTGCAGGACTGGCTGCTGCAGATCGAAACCTGGACAGCTATGTGGAACATCGCTATAAACTGTGCCAAGTCCGCCTGCGTCACTTTTACGCTGCGCCCATACAGCTGCCAGGGGCTACGGTTCGATGGACGAACCATTGAGCAGACCAACTCTTTCTGCTACTTGGGTGTCCACCTGGATCGAAGGCTCATATGGGGGCCTCACATCGCAGCAACGAGAGCAAAATGCCTGAGAAGACTTCAAAAGCTCGATTGGCTACTAAAGCCTCAAAGCAAGCTGCACATATCCACGAAGACACTGCTTATCAAAACGATGGTAACGCCTATCTGGACATATGCGATCCAAGTTTGGGGCACGGCATCAGCACACCAGCTCCGTCGCATAAGAGTGGTCCAAGCCAAGGCAGCACGCAAGGTTGCTGGCCTGCCATGGTACGTAACAACAGACGCCATCGAACGCGATCTCCGCCTAACAAAGGTCGGAGATCAGCTCAACTTCTTCAGCAGCCGATACTCCGACAAATTGGTGCAGCATCCGAACGCGGCCGCAAGGGCCCTGGCTGAGCCCATTAGTGAGAGGCGCCTCCGAAGGCTACACCCCGACGACCTACCAACGAGGCACATCACTTAAACATCCCTTTCCCATTATTGTTATATATTTTTAAGTCTGTAATTATCATTTAAGTTATTAAATAATAACTATACACTATACCCTTAACTCCGCTTGGTAGAGATCAGAAGGCACTGATCGATTCCAGCGCAAAATAAACCAAATTAAAAAAAAAAAAAAAAAAAAAAAAAAAAAAAAAAAATATTTGCTAGCCTCAAATTTGTCTGTTTACAGTTGACGAATGCAGC